AAGAACTTGAAGGCTCGACCTTGAAGGCAACAGAGCAAGATTGAGAGGCCCATTCGCGTATTCATGGGTCGTCTAGCCAAATACACTTCACCTTAAAAATTCAGCATCGAACGGGGAAACTATAGAGCTCGAAAATATTTGATCGTCAAAGCTCGAGATTCGTCTGAAGAGAAAAAAGAAGAGTATTCGATCTTGAAAGCTTCGGGTGAACTTGAATGCCTTATTTACGCGGGAGAGAGAACTCCGTTCTCGCGAGTGTCTGAATAAATTAGTTTGACCGTGAAAGCGCGAGGTCAGACCGAAATCCCCGTTTCCTTAGAAAATGGACGCAAACGCTCGACCTCGCGAGCTCAAGATCGAATCGAAATCTCCATCTTTAGGCTGAAATTTTGAAATTTTATCCTTGATTAACCCTTTCGCCGCGACAGTGCGCTCGGCCGGGACGCCGCCACTGAACGGGACCCCACACCCCTATAAAAGTATACACGTTGATCGAATCATTTTCCGAGTCTGCCAATTCCGTTTCGAAATAGCATGTTTCTTACATTTCCTGGTAACACTTTGACAAGGGCCTGGAATGTTTTTTTTTTAAACAAACTTTAATTCTTCAAACTTCACCTGACTTAACCTAATAAGACCTAATTTTTCAAATTTAAAATTTTTAAGAAATTAACAATTACAGCTATGGCTGGTCTTTTCCAAATTTCAATAGATTAAGAAAGATACTTTTATCGCGATAATTTCTTATCGTGCAAATATTCCACTGTCGAATAGAAGAAGCTCGTCTTGTTGGCTAAAGTGTATTTTCACCAAAACTACCGACGACCGAAGCGTAAAATTTCCACCAGAGACGTTAAAGTGAAAAAATAGACAATAACTTGCACGAGTTTTCGTTTATACATTTTCCGAAAAATCATTTAAATCTCTCAAAAAATGCGCCGTTTCGTATCGACAGAATTTCTAACAAAAATTACAAATTGGTTATTTTGACAACTTTGGTTGTTCTAGTGTTACGTACGTCCAAAAGTGTATTTTTAATGATTTTTCCAAAATACGTCAATAGATGCCGCATACATGTATATGGGTCACAGTAATAAAAGGGTTAATAAGTTCGTTTCGAGTTGCAGCAACTGTTTTCACAGTCAATATTCGTCCTGCTTTCGAAACACTTCGATCGCGAAAAACGGAAACGCCACGCAATTCGCGGGATTTCCGAGCCCGCTGGCTACGATTTCAAACAAATGATGTTTGATTTTTACGATACGCAGAGCAAACATCGTCCCAGCGAGTATCGAAATTGCACGCCGAACAACGAATATCGTTCGATCGAGATATATTAAAAAACATTTTCAGTCGGTCGAGATATTCATTACGCTGGCAGATTCCGATCTAGCCGCTCGCGCTATCAGCCAGCATTCGCTATTCGGTATTTTTGCATGCTCGCGTTTGTCGCTCGTCGCGAATAAAAATTACTGAAAACGCGGCTTTTGCCGCGACTAAAATTTGGTTGAAAACCAGGCTGGCTGTGTCGCGAGGACACTTTTAAAGGCTTGGCCACGATTTTCAACGGGCTGTTTCGCCAGCGTCTGGCGAAACGTTCGCGTCGAACGACGCGGATTGGAAAAGTTTCGCCGTAATCACCGCGTTCACAATTTTCCTAGTTCCTAGTAGCGTGTTGCTCGAGTTTGTGTTACATAACGGAGTGTTTTAAAGCATCGTTATACAAAGATGAACGATTTTGAAAGTGGCAACGATACGTTTTAACAATTGGACTGAAACAACGTTGTTCCACGAGTTTCTAACTCTTTGGAAACCGCACTCACGCAAATCGTGTCTACAAATTTGCTTCTTCAAGCCAATGAAAGTAATTTGGTTATGCCGAAATCAACACTTTATTGCAAGTAGAATACCTGAACGAGAAATGAAACATGAAATGACGTGCAATGATACTTGAACCAAAAGTGACATAGAACGGCATAAAATTAACATAGCAATACTTGTTTAAAAGTATTTATATACAGAAATGTAGATTCGCTTATCGGGGTAGTTTTCGTACAACAATTATTACAATTTGCAAGTGAGTAACAACGTCCAACTATTTATGACTCGAACGATGAACCAAAATGTTTCTTGCGTGGAATTTTAATTTTAGAAATAACTAAACGACAGCCACTCGCAAAGTGAATTTTATCCGTGAGAGGGTGAACGTGACAAAAGGATTAATTGCAAAGGGTAGTGCAAAATTTGTATCGGAGAAAACATACTACGTACAAGTCAAAAATGCCCACGTTTTGCAACATTCATACGTCGCTTCGAGAGATACGCTTTGCAGGCACGATTCATGAAAATATTTAAAATATACATTCGCAAGTAAACATTCGGCAAAAAATATCCACGTGTACAAAACGCGTTGGAGGGAGTGTGTGGGAAGCAGGGAGTTTTCGATCGTTCGCCAAAACAACGAGAGAACTCACGATCCTGGAAATATCGTCCTGGAATTATTAGCGGGCGCGCCCTTAATATCGATGTTATCGCGATGAACCTCCGAGTGACGGAATCTGTGTCAATTTCGACGTCGAAATTTCACTCTGCCTGTATATTTAATTAAATTCCAACGATACGCGTCGGCAAACGTTAATGGACCCGATGAACTTTCGGGTCGGCGCATTGATAATTGTCAATTTCTATCAACTTCGCCAGTGCGCGTGTCAACTGTTTGAAAAACAACCTTTCGAAACTTTTCGAACAGCGGGAAAGAAAAAAAGGAAAAAAAAATCGGCAATAGTCGGATACAAGAAAAAAGGGAGGGGCAAACGTAACACCTTGACCTGGCCTAGGTATAGTTAAAAACTACTACTCTATAGAGTCCGACAGATGACCCCGGCCAAATGGAAGAATCTTGTCCTGTGAATCATCCCTGTGCCTACATTCGTTAATAACTTTCATCCCTCTCGGTTGCCAGTCACTCCCCCAAATGAACGAATTTCCCGGTACGCGGCGGAAAAGCGCCGCGGCAAAAGCTCGCGAGAGGAAAGGAGGGAGAGAGGGAAAGAGAGAAAGAGAGAGAGAGAGAGAGGACGAGAGGAGTATTTCGTTGCGAGTGGAGCGCGCAGCGGTCAGCCAGCTATATTCCTAGAAGCTGGTCGAATAACGTCGTGGCAATTAAGCGCCTCAAAGCCCAAGTCTGAACGAAAAACGCGATTCAATTTACCAACCATGGGTTCGGGCTGATGCCCGGTCAGATGCGTAAACAGCGGGCGAAAACCCGTGAAAAAGTTTCAATTATCCCGGGCGAAGATTAAATTTCCCGGTCGGGAATCAGAGATTAAAGCGTTAAGGAGAAAACGGAAATTTACGCCCCTTCGCCGATGAATTTGTCCTTTTAATTTCTATCAGCTTCTCTCTCTCTTTCTCTTTTGCCGCTCCTTCGTGCGAAACGAACGATCGAAATTAAACAGCAACCTTCCAGTTTCGAGGAGGATCGTTGCCGAATTTTTCAATTTTTGCCAGGAAAATGTACAAAGAACTGTCGCTACGTGCGACGATTGTCTAGTTTCTAGTGTTTGCACCTCGAGCAACTATCCTCGGAAAAAATGCGAGATTATTTGCGAGGAAGGAGCTTGCAACTCTTTGCAACGGGTTATCAGTTAGCAAGTTAACAAGTCTCATTTCCGAGCTACAACGTTCATTCACCTCCCCCGCCCTCTAAGTGTATATACATACTACGTTCATGCATATAGTACACACGTTCGCCGACTTATGAATAGCATTGTACTGCTTTAGCCATTTCCTGTTGTATTAACGCTTCACATTTGACGCAAAACACAATGAAACGTCACGTACGCGTTTCGTCGACCTTCCAGTTCGGGATTAACCCTGGAACTGCGATTGAAGTACGAGGAAACTCGGAGAAATCGAGACGGACGGGAAAATTCACTCGCTCTGCGTGTTTTCGACAATCGTCTGAAACGTTTATCCGATCGTCGAAATTCCAAAAACACTGCGAGAACGTTGAACAGCTTCACTTTCGAGCAACAAATCGAGAGTGGCAAAAATTTAGTCGTCCTATTTCAACACTATCTCTCATTGTTTATCTTCAGTGCGAAATTTTAAATTTTAACCACGTTTGAAGTCAGTGCCATGCACCACACTATTCAGATTAATTCGTGTCGAATAGTTTGATCGCGATCCTCGATGTGCAGGATGGAAAGAATCTGTTGCAAAATTAATCTTGGCTTTGAATTTCAAGGTCAAATTTTTGTTTTTTTTTCTTCATATTGTAACGAAGGTACCACAAGTCGCAATCTAATAGTTCTTTTGAAAAATGGCAAAGTTTCTCAATCAACGTGCGTCCTAACAGCGACTTTATGCTTCTGGACGTGTGGATGTAATGTTTACATTTCGAATAACATTAAGTGTTATCATTTGATTATTATTTCACTGATGACAAATGAAACGTCAGTGAAATCTAATACGAAAATTACGTAAAATAGGCATCCACGTTTCCAGAATCATAAAGTCGCTGTTAGAACTCACGCGTTCGCAGTGTTAAGAAACTTTTTCGCCATGTTTCAAAAGAACTATTCCATGGAAAAGTTTTTCCACCCTCGTGATGAGTGGAATACAAAGCAAATAAAAGAAAAACACTCTTAACCTTGAATTTCAAGGTCAATTTTGCAGATTCTCTCCATCAAATCAAAGGTGTAGAATTCATTTGAAATACGAAATAGTTTCACAAAGTTTCCTCTTTTTAATTACTTTCTTTCCAATTAAACCTAAACCAAGAGCTACCTAGCCACAAGCTAAATAGACTACTTTTATCACCTGGTATTCTTCGCCGTTACACCAATGAAGCGCCATCGAACACGATTTTTTAAATAGCACTCGACGATCCCGCCCTCCTCCATTAAAGTTTAAAGTTTACGTGAGAGGGGCAACGGGCGATTATTGCACGATCACTGACGAATAGTCGAACGGTAGAAGAAGAAACGTTTTCTCACCTGATCCGAATAGAGAGCAGAGGAAGAGTAGCGCGAGCCGCATTTTCGTCAGACACATCCCCTCGCACCTGGAGCAGGAATCGCTCGCGATCGAAGTGGCACTCGAGCCACTCGCTCGCCTCGAGTGCTTCATCGTTTGCTCGACATCTGAGAGAAACGTCGCCGCGCGGACCGATCGTTCCCCCGAGGGGAGACCACTCACACACGCCGTGTAATTTGCACCCAACGACTGTTAATCCAACCCGGATCCCGAACACCTGGTGGTATATAGCCGCCGATGATGATCCAGGCAACACACCTTCTCCGCCACTTGGCGAGTTTCCACCTTACTCGATTCCTCGCCCCTCCCTTTTATTCTCCGGGAGATCTTGCCTCTCTCTCTCTCTCTCTCTCTCTCTCTTCTCTCGCCTCCTGGAATTTCAAAGACTACCAAGATCTCGGATTCTATCCGAGGAGTGCGGCAATTCGCTCGATGGGCGGGGACCGTTTCGGATCGTTCGGATCGCAAGCTAACGGAACGCTAGCTAACCAATTTCCACCGCGCGTATTCCTCCACTGCTCGAAGCCAGATCTACTCGGCACTTTGATCTTTCCGCGCCGGATCGATCCTCGGGAATTGAAAACGTGTAAAAGTTTACTTTACTCGATCCTCGAGCCACAGTTCGACGCACTTTGCAACTTGCAGATCTCGCCGTTGCTTTCGCGATGAAAGCAGCTACGTAAGTATCGAGAGGGAAAACAGTTCTTAAACTGCGAGATCGAAATCGAGTCGACTTGTTGTTGGACGACAAGCTCTATACAGCTCAAGTGACCCACATCTTTTTCCTTTTTTCTCTCTTTCTCTCTCTCTTTTCTTTCTTTCTTTCTTTCTATCCACTCCCGATGGAAATTGCCAATCTCGCCGGTAGTTCCGTGGCTGCGAGCCGATCCCTCCAGTATCGCGTTCTTACGAGAAGCTCTCGAGGCGTCTCCCCGGTCTCATTAGCCCGCCCTTTCATCCGGATTTCATACCGTCTTCGGGTCGTCCGGTGGCGAGTTTAATCAGCAAATCCGTCGCGAGCCAGCCAGCCAGCTCCGATGAGCCGCTTCGCGTCCCTTCTCTTCTCTCGCGGCGCCGGCTAATTAGTATCCTGATTAATTATTCGCCGTCCGCCTCAAAGACAAACGTTGCTGGCCAACCGTTTCACTCTTGGATCAACGTGCGTCAGTTCTCAATAGGGACAACTTTCAGAGATTCTTTTATTCCGTAATTTCCATGTAGCCAGCTTCTTCAGTTCGACGAAGGTTCGTCCTGAAACGCGTTCAAACGCGACACAGCCACGTGACACTTGGTCGTACACCACGTGACAACGCCTATCCCGCGATACGCTTCATTGTCGCGAGCGGCTAGACTAGCAGATCGATCGACGCGATCCAACACCATCCATCCGGCACACTTTCTGCCCGTAATCCTCGTTGGGTGCTGGTATCCGTATCGAACCGGTATCCCTCGATCACTCGGCGACTCGCGCTGCAAACACTCGTCAACAAATTCCATCCGATTACATCCGATTACATCCAAAAAAATCTCACGTACACGCACACGCGCGCGACACAGAGAGAGAGAGACAGACAGACAGACAGACAGACAGAAAGAGAAAAAAAGAAATGCAAATGCGAAAAGAAAATGTGGTGTTCACACCTCGCCGAGTTGCGGCGAGTCTCTCTCCGCAAGGTCGTCGATCGCACGACGAAGATATATCGGTGCGCGGATGCACGACGCGCGGCGCGACACGTTGACACAGACGGGTACCTTTTCCGTACGAGAGTTCGTAGTTGACAGAAAGCCTTGGCGGGAGCTGCACGACGAATAAGGTGCCACTCCCACCCGCGCATGCTCCTCCACTCTAGATCGTCGTGCCCTCTCGGCGGTGCGCGCTCCCTTCCTCCCACCCTCCCTCCCTCCCACCCCATCCAACCCTTCCACCCTTTCTCCTTACCTCGCCCTTCGTTCACCCCTATTCCCCAGCATGCCCCATCTCCTTACCGATCTCTCCCGTCGGCCGCGTGTTTCTTGTTTCGCTCGAACGCGCTTTCTTTCTCTTCCTCTGTGTCTCGGGTCCGTGTCCCCCATCCGTGTCGTCGATCGCGAATCTACGATACACACGCACATATCTCCCACCAGCGGCGAGCCCGCTCCGCGTTCAGACACGTGCTACGCGCCGCACCCGGCTGATCGACAAACCAATTAATGCGGCAAATAAATTCGAGAATCGACTCTGCTCCGCAGTCCGCGACGCGACGCGGCGAGACGAGATAAGACGAGACGAGACGAGACGAGACGATTCTGATTCCGATCGATGTCTCGCGGAACGTAAGATCGATGCAAAAATCGACGAACCGATTTGAGAAATCTTTCGTCGAAAATGTTGAGAGGAAGGAATTAAAGATTCAAATTTTTCGAAGCGCCAGGAGCACTTGTTCGGTTAATAATGAAAGTCCTTTGTTGATTTTCAACGAAATTAAATGTAGGTTTAATAAACAAGATCTTTTATTATTCAGTCGATCGACTGTACACGCAGAATTAATAACATATCACGCGTGCAATTAATTAAATGATACAACACAGTTGAATAACACAAAATTCTGTTTATTAAAGATATTTTTCAATTAATAATTCGACGTTCGAACGAAGGGTATTTTATTATTCAGCGATTCTAAGGAAGATTGGTGGACGATACAGATGAAATGTATATCATTTCGAAATTGATCTTTCAAAAAAAAAAAACGCTACGTAGAATCATGTTTAATTAAATAATTTGAAATTCTACTTGTTGAAAATATTTTCCAATTTCGTTGGAAATTAATCAAGGAATTTCATTTGACGTTGAAAATAATATACCAAGGGGGATCGGTACAATTTGAATGAAATGTACATCGTTTCGAAATTGATCTTCTAAGAAATGACACATACAAATAACATAAAATTCTATTTATTAAACTCACTTTATTTCAATTCACTGAGACTTAGTGAAGGAATTTCATTTCAAACGGTGGTCATTTTTAAAGAAGAATAAAACAAATCGTTACGAAATTTAATCCCCCCAAAAAAACACCACAAACAAAAATAATTACAATTAAACGATGCGAAATTCCATTTATTCAAGATGCTTTTCATTTCATTGGAAACTGATGAAGAAATTTCGTTTGACGTGAACGGAGGATGATTATTTAGCGACTCGAAGAAAAATTGGCAAAATTCAAATTTCGAGAAACAAATCGTTCGGAAACGCCACGAAACGAAAGGGTATCGATTTGACAAAAAGAAAAGGAATACTTCGTCGACGAAAAAGGAAAAAAAAAAAAAAAAAAGAAAAAAGAAAAAGAAATGTCGACAGGAGCGGGAGAGAACTCGCACGAGTTCTCGGAACCGATCGTTGCGACCCTCGTCCCTCGTTTTTCACGATCTAACGAACTTTTTCCTCGAAAGAGCCCGAGGAATCTGAACACGCATAAGAGTGGGCGGAAGCTCGTTTTCAATTTCGAGATCACGGAGCTCATTTGGTCTGTCTCACGTTCCAGCGGTGGGCAACGATCTCCTTGGGACAGAGAGATCGGCAGAGCCCGTTCTATTCAAATAGGCCGTCAGCTCGGCAATTCATAGCACGTACGGTCGAGTATTGCTTCACGGATAATTGTCCCCCGATGCCGGTGACGCGAATCACTATCGATTACGCGCCAAGGAATTAAATATACAGGCCGGCCGATTAATCAAGTCACGTAGGCGCACCAAGTCGATAATCTGTAATAGAACGTGTATCAGATAACCCGGGCACACCGGTTATAGGTGTCTCCCCCCCCCCCCCCCCCCGTTTGACCAACGCGCAGTCGAATCGTCGATTATTCATAACGCGAAATCGGAAAACTGCCATTGTGTAGATTGAATTTTTAATGGGCTACGCGGTCGTCGGTCTGCACGTAGCACGACAAATGCCCCCCACCCCCACCCCCCTCCCCCCAATACATTATATTATATTTCCCCTTCATTTGCCACTTGGACGTTCCAACCTATCCGATCGAAAACGGTTTCGCTTGTTTTAAGATGATTTGCATCCCCCTCCTCCTCCCGCTCTCCCTTCCAATGTTTCCATTTCGATGGTAATTAATTTCGTCAGTTTTCGTCTCGTGATTAATCGATCGAGCAAATTACAAGTCAGAGAGTTCGTAGCACATCGAGGTAAATTTCGCAGTCAACGCTCGAATACAGGGTGTAACGTTCGAGCGTGGCGTAATTCTTTTTTCGAGTTTCGCGACGATGGGAAAAGTATTTTCAATGTTTATCGCCGATGAGGGAAACTGACTGAACAACGAAACGCTCGGCCACTTTGTCATCCAGTTATCCAGCGGCCACTGAACGAAGCTAATTGAAAAATTCCCTGGCGCTGCAGTCTTTTCAAAGGAACGGCATTAACCGCCTTTCCTGCCGGTGGAATTTCCGGGGAAAGAAAGAGATTGGGAGAGAGAGGAGAAAAGAAGTAAAAAGGGGAGGGGGGAGGGAATGAGCGAAAGGCGTGGAACACTCGTAGGAAAAGAGAGAGCTTTGGCCAGCTTCAAGCGGCGGGTAACCGGGTTAAACATTGCGGAACACGCGTTGCTGTTCGCGGATCCGCGCGACTAACGCTCTCGCTTTTGCGTATATTTCGTACGTCGTTCGAGTCATTGCGCGCCAACTTCAATTCTCTGTATCCATTGAACCTGACGTAACCTAACCTAGTAATTTTAAAGTAAAATTTATTTTGTACCTATTGCATCATTTTAATAATTTTAATTATCTCTAAAGTAAATGATTTAAATATATATATATATATATATATATATATATATATATATATATAATAAAAATAATATATATATATATAATATATAACATATATAAAAAAATAATATATATAGATATATCATTTTTTTTGTAAAATAAAGAAAATAAATATATATTTAGAAATTAAATGTTTGTCGCATTTAAAAATATGTAGTTTTTTGTTTTAATATTAAATTTAATTTAAACCTAACCTCTTCACGCCTTTGACCGCATACGTGGACAGTTAATAAAAAGTCCATTCCCAAAACTGTCAGAAAAAGAAAAAAAAAAGTCCATTCCCAAAACTGTCACAAAAAGAAAAAAAAATGTCCATTCCCAAAACTGTCGCAAAAAGAAAAAAGAACAAAAACCCGCGCAATCCTTATCGCCAGCCAGAAAATAAATCCCAATTGTTACAACACGTTTTATATAAAATATAAAATAAAATTGAGTTGAAAATTCATCCATCGAAGAGGATGAGGTTAAACTGCGAATTATTGTTTATAGAAACGTTGCGCAAAGTTTCATCGAATTTTGGTTTTCAGTGCTGTTTTCCGCCGCATCTTGCGCCACGCCTGCGAACAAATTAATATATTTGTAGCGTTTCCGTGGGAGGGGATGCTCGTGCAGCACGTGCCGCCTCGTATTACGAGGAATTACGAAGAGATTAAGGTAGAAGTTGATTATTGAACGAGGGTAAACTTTAACGAACGCGAGCCTCGTGAAGATTTAGTGGATCTTTGTGGAGTTACCGGGCATAACCCCGGTGTATTAATACCTCCTCGAGTCTTCCGTCTCAATATTTGACCTTTCAATTCTCTCTCTCTCTCTCTCTGCCTATCTCTGGATTTTCGATTCGGGAAATTTGTAGAATCAAACAGGCCGATCTCGTAAATACGCTGCGTATTAGAGTTTCAATATTCAAGCGACGAAAGCGACTAAAACGTGCCGTCTAACGCCGCATGAAAGAATCATTCTCGTTCTCGAGCCTCTCGCGGGGGATCTTTTATTCCCGGTGGTCGCGTTTCCTTGCTCGTCCACGTGCAAAGTACCTTGCGCCTTACACGGCAGAGGCTGGTCGTAGAACGTGGAAAATAGAAAACAATATTCCACGAGCGGCCGAAGACGAAGGAATATCGATTAAACTGCCGATTAATATTCATCAGCGTGGAGAATTGTTCGTCGCATGGTGGAGAGAGAGAGAGAGAGAGAGAGAGAGAGAGAGAGAGAGAGAGAAGGATGGAGGGTAGCTCCCGTATTGAATTTAAAATCAACGATTATACATAAATTAAGTCGTTTCCCGGCTCGCTGCCGCAAGAACTCTCGCAAGTATGTATGCACGTGCGTGCTCGCGCGTTTTCCTATCGACTCCATCATACATTTAGCTGCCTTTCTTTAAGGGGGCAGGGCAGTTTGACGGGCCTAAAAGTTACGAATACTTTGGAGTGCTGGTGAAACAAAAGTACATATTTGATTGACATGAGCTTTCGTGGTTTATTTGAACACATTATGAACTATAAATGGCGACATCAAAAAAGAAAAAGAGAGAGAGCTCTTGTTTAACCTTTTAACAGCATCCTTTTACGTAACTTTTTTTTATATTGTCCATCGGTGTGCATGATTCCAGTAAAACAGGATTAGCTGCAACGAAAGGGCAAAGAAAGTTCAAAAGTGAACAATATTCTCTAGAGATTGACGATCCAACATTTTCATTTTCGTGAAAATTATGAAAATAGCAGCTATTTGTCTTTGATGTGTCCAATTTGTGCTAATAATTTCTACGTTTTTGGGTTTATATTTTTCGAAATTGTTAAAAATTAAAAAATGTTCGATCGTCAATCCCTAGTAGATGTTACACTAAAGATACGTACCAAGTTTCACGGTAATCGGTTCGTTAGATTCCGAGATATCTTGCACACCGTTTCTAAAAACCTAGTTTCGAGAAAAACGCGTTGAAAGTTTCAGAACGTCATTTTTCATACGTATCCTTTAC